AATTGTCTGAGAGTAATGAAAAAAAGGTATGTTGCATTAACTCTGCCACCAGGGGGTAGGCAAACCTCTTCCTTACAGCTACAAAGGCTGGTGCTGGTGGGAATTTGAAATGCCAATTATGAATATATTCTGGGCAATTTTGGAACAAATTAATATATTTTGAATACTGATGTCTACCATAAGTTGAAGAACAAATCTTATCCCTGAATCTGAATTAAATGAAAGAAAATTACCATCTGTTTGCTGAAGATGAGGCATCTTCATTAGGGGAAAACCATGTGATATACAGGAATTGATGGTGATCATTGAATTTTCAATTATCGGCTATCAGGAGTCCGCAGAATTATTGAAAATGAATTCAGAGTTATTGTTGTGAAATTTGGTGCTTTTGAAGCTTGCATTAATCTACATCTGGTCGACAGTGATATAGTTATGGCTTACTATATATTACAATTTGTTTGTGAAGAATGTTTCCTCAGTTATACATACATACCACTTGACTGCTTGCCTAAGAGGATACAGAAACTGGCGCTATTACATTGAGACTGCGAGACTGCGAGCCAGCCCAGCAAACATGATTATCTTCAAAAGGTGTGAAATAGAAATGCAACAGAGAAAGAAAAATTGCAAGACAGAAGTTCCATACTTGTTTTAAGAACAATGGACCTAGTTTCATGGCAACTCATCCGTTTGCAGTGCATATCATACACGTGTTTTTGTCGTATGTGCCAGAATTCTAATAAATTATTTGATGAATTTTACATTGTTGTAACTATGTTTCCACCCCACTTCCTTCTTCATATGTGTTTTTGGTAGAGTTCTGTGAAATGTCATGAATTGGGAAGGTAAGATAAGCATAATGTCTCTATTGTGGAGTGTAAATATCATTGTCACTTGCCTCTGATTTCTTCCATGTTGTTATCTGCCTGAGTTACCTTTGAAAAGTGATCTGGAGGTTTGTTTATTTTATTCACAGTGACAACATGGTCAGCATCTTTATCCACAACATTCAGTTTATGAATAATGGTTTTGTATGTGGCATCCTTCTAAGTCCAGTTAGTATAGTCTTTCAACTTATCTTTCCACAAACGTTGTGTATGATACAGTTAAATAGATTATTTAAGAAATTCTTTTGTCCACTGAAGACCCATGATGGGAAGCTGTGTTTATGAATATTATATGGTTTAGCCCACACATTTAGATTTGTCTGTGCAGATAAAGTGTCAAGACGATCTAGCTTTACTTAGACTGTTCAGTTAGCTCACATTGAGATCTGTCTGCACAGACATGCCTCAGTATGTATGGCCACCTTTACTAAGAAATGGTCTGTCCACTACTTGCTGCGTGCTGACAAGTCCCACCCACATTTTGCCCATAATTTGTTGCATGTGATTCCTTGTGAAAATAAACACATTGGTTTGTATCGAGCATAAATAATATATTTCACACATGAAGCAATTACATTTGCATCATTGCATATGTATGTACACCATGGTGTGGATTGTTCCAAATGCCATGGCTGTAATATATGCAACTTTTTGATATTATGCAAGAGATGGTTATGCATCAGCCATTATATTTAACCCTTAAGTACCCAGGCTTTCTCCTTGAGACTGCAGTGGAAAGCTAAATAGTGTATGTTTTGTTTTAGTTGATATTTGTGAGAGCCAGTGTTTCTACCTCAGAATAATTCCCCCTATTACTGTGGTTGGCAGTATCTGTCATTGTAGGTAAATTACTCTTGTTTTTGCAAGCTTCATACCTGGCTGTTAATGTTACAAACAGTATTCTGAGAAACCCACACACACTGATCTGTAGTAATCAGAATTCTGAAATCTATCTTGAGAAGATTAGAAGATGAAGAAAAAGTTGATGTGGATGAATGTGAAGAAGATTGCAGTTCTTAGTGAATGTGGTTCAGTTTGTGAAGTGGGTGCACTGGTTACGAGTACATTGGAAGTGGCATGAAAAGGAACGTACCAAGGACAGAGTAGTTATGAAAGTGTTCAATCATTTATGCTTCTGCCAGCAGTTTTTATGGGAAGACCAGGTTAAGATGGTCATCAAGCTGATCTAAAATTAGACAGCTTTTATTCTGTGTAATTCATAAAAGAACAGTTCACAAGAGTCCTGATTTGAATTCACAAATCTGCAAGCAAAGCAACTAAATTTCCACATGGAAATCGGTGCAAAATCGCTGACTCACTCATGAGCGTTGATCTTAAATCCCGATGAGGTCATTGAATTTTTTCAGTTGACCTAATCCTTCCAGCCTTACTATGGCCCTGGGGTCGACTCAGCCTCTAACAGAAATGAGTACCAGGAATTAATTAAATAATTTTCCTGGGGAATAAAACGTGGCCAGCGCGTAAGGCTGACAACCTTACTGCGATCTTTGAGCCGATTGTCTAGATAATGTGGGACCCTCAACGTCTCACAACCCAATTGGCCTTCATGGCCTGCTACAGGGATAGCTTTACTTTTACTTAATATAGTTACCCTTTCCTGAACACACATCAAGCAACAAAGGTAACCAATTTTTTTAATATTTCAGATTTGTAAAAAAGAAACTATATCCTGTGCATTGACAGATGTAAAAGAAAATTGTTGTGCTTAATTACTTATGCACCACACCATGACACCTCCAGTTAGTCCCGATGTCAAGAAAATGTGGATTGTACGTCCACCCCCCCCCCATATGCCTTAATGGCGTAAGGCCTAATTAGTTATGCACGTGGACAGCTTTACTTTTACGACGCTGTGAGACGTGTGGGGAATGGAGGTATAGCTCCACCATTCTAATCTTGACATTAGGTGGAGGCGAGTGGTCAGCTTCACGCCCCCGTTGCTTTGCCACCGGAGTTGACAGCTCCCCACACCCCCTGGATAAGAGGCTGCGTGTCTTCAGAACCTATGTGGACGCCGTAGATTAGAGGAAACTTCTCGCCTTTGCCGGAAATCGAACTCTAATTCCTCGGCCGGCCGTTAGCCTGGCACTGTGCCGACCAAGCTGTGTATATAAAAATAATATGTGTGAACATGCTTACAGATGTGTTTAGTTCTGTCCTGAATCCTGATAAATGAAATGTGAAAAAATAGTGCTTTTGAATGACTATTAACGTATTGTTAATGAGAAAAATACGCGGTAGTCTCTAAGAGCATCACTTGGTTACTACTAGTGTCCCTCTAACAACCCAGGTACTGAAGGCTTAAGTATAAAACGCGTGTTATGGTAATGTCTTGTATGAACCAGGAACTTTATAGTCTAAATTAGTGGACATCTCTTAAGTTTGTAACATACCTGGAAACGAGCCGTAGAGCGCCATTGGTGTTACAGTAGTGGCAGGCCTCGTCTTGTTCGTCACAATCACAAATCGAAATCGGGACGTGAATTTAAGCGATATGCACCGATGAATTGTCCATACCGCCTGCCGACTCCACATGGCGTATTATTTCTAGCTTCATATTCAGTACGCGCGCTCCCGTTTTGTCGCCGCAAATAGTGATTTTCAAAAATTTGCAGTCAGCAACCACCGAACACAGTAGACGTTTGATGTGACGTCAAACATTCCCGTGTATAGTTGTATTCCAAAATTTCGACCGGAAGATGGCGCATAGTGCTTTAGTAAACTAGAATTTATGTTGGATTTGACTAGCCAAGCCACGGTATACACAGAAACAATTGAACTGGAGACGAAGTTCAGGGGAAGACACGTGATATACCTTTGTCTGCATTTAAAACTTGGAGGGGGTGAGCAGCTAATAGCTTACATTCTGGAATGCGAACTTTCTCCTAGATAAGGGTAGGACAGAAACAGTGGCCTTGCGGGTTGCTACGCCATTTCGGAAGGAAAAGCTACTTTTCGGAAGAACGTATTCAACGTCCCCATTTCAGGGTCAAGGATTAAGCCAACCAAAAAGCAGGAGGTAAGCATAGTCGATGAAGAAAATTTGTTGGGAGTGGTGAATAATTAGGAATCGCTTGTTATGCCGGAAGAAGACCATTGTTTTATATGATGGGTTTCCATATATGTAACGTTAAAAATAGACGATTCCAGTAGTTTTGTCGCTGTGTCAAGTCGTTATAATCTGTATTCGTTCTATCGCAGTTTCGTTGTACTTCGTCAGGTTGAAGGCAATGGATGCAAGATTTGAGGCTCTCACAGCGATGGTTACGAAGAGTTCTGTTTTCTGGGATATAACGCCTTGTAGTCCTTTGAAATTCAGCTGGCGTTTCTGAGGAACATGTCGCTTCCATCTTCAGGGTTGAAGAATAAGGCAAGCAAGAAATCACTATGAAGCAGGTAGCAATGCAACACTGAAGATGGAGGCGATATATTCCTCAGAAACGTCGGTTGACTTTCAACGGATTACATGACGTTATATTGCCGAAGATAGAACTCTTTTTAAGTTGAGAAATGTTAAGTGGTAGTGGAGTAATGCTAGAATGATACAGATGGCATAAAGATGTCGGTTTAATAAATAAAATGAAGGAAGCATGGCCTTTCACGATTAACAAGTTATCTATAACTGTTATCACAAAAGTGCATGTTAAGAATTAAGAATTAGTGCATGCATGCCTTATAATCTTTGGCAAAGATTGTAAATTATGTGTGTCATCTTTAGGTAGTTTTGACCATCAAGCTGTGACTTCCTCTCTTTTGGGTCAAAATATTTTACTCAATTCTTGTTTTAATGAGATGTTCCAGCATGTGACTGCTAGATAAGGCCAGCACCTGTACTTTCATGCTCATTTCTGTTCACACACTTCACATATGAAGAATCCTTTCATTGCCTACACTGAGTGTATCCTTTCTCTAGGTGGAGTGTATGTTTGTTTTCAGTCTGTTGTTCATTCCAGTCTTGCTGCAGGGATTTCTTTTTTGTTCTTAAAAAATTATGGTGAAAGGGTTAAATGTTACCTGAGAATCTTGTCCAAATATAACAAACTTAAAGGCATAATGGTTAGCTGTTTGATGACAGCTATGTTATGTTTACAGGCCTGCTAGAGGGATATGACAAACTCTGCCTTGCTGCAAAGCAGCTGGCCCCTTTGCTACAGCAACTGGAGACTGAACACTTGCATCGGTTCAACCTTACATGGGAGGTCCTAAACAAACACCTGTATCAGAGTTGTGTGTATACTGACCCTCTTGTGCAGAACAATCTGCCCCATTACATAGGACAGGTGAGTACAGTGATGGTATTATTGGTATAATATTGAACAGTATCTGTATAAAACAAGAAGAAGCTTTTGGATTGGTCACAACAAAAAGGAATTAATTTGGAAGAAATTCTAGAACATTTTTGTTTTATTTGAGTCACTAATTGAAGGTTTGAGATGCAGAATGAGTCTTCATTCCATCAAATTCTCCACAAATAAGAATGTAAAAAATTGTAACTATTGTAATTTTAATCTACTTATATATCAAATTGTTAATATTCAGAATTAACTTGACTTGTCATATATCATGTACAATGATCTACAGTGACGAAATAAATCAATCAATCAAAATGATAATCTTTTATTATTTGGAGTTTTTGTTTTAGGTGGGTTCATTGTATAATGTACTTAATGTGTTGGTCTATAATCATCACCTGCCATTTTTAAATCAGCACTCACAAATTTCCATACTTGGAATAGCACTTCATTCCAGTCATTGTGTCACATGTTATTATCCAGTCTGGCTATCGGAAGTTCCCCACTGAAACTTTCTTTGTTAGAGCCTTCTGCCAATGTGTCAACATGGTGTTGCTGTGGAAAACTGTTCAGTCTTTAAATTGTTTCTTTGAGGGGGGGAAAAAGATAGAGATGAAAATATCTTATGGAACATGCACTGCACATTGTTAGTTAATCCAGAGTTTTGAGTTGATATTTTAATGGTTTGTAAGGAAATTTCGATACTTTAAATATCATAATTTTAAAAAATCACTACTATTGACTTAAACAAGCAAGTGTTCAACAATTTTTACCGTGCTGTATTGTGCTGTGACTGAGAAGATTGCAGGGGGGCTGTATAAATGGTTTAATCTAAAAAGGCAATTGTATTGCCCAGACTCAAGAAAATGTCTTATTGCATAATAGGTTTAAATATAAGTAACGGCAGATATAAATGTTTCGTAGCGTGAAATGTAGAGCAGATTTTTTGCCATTCCAGTTACGCAGTGTGACCGCAGGGAAGAATCAAACCTATTCTGAGTTGGTGCACCACTACTTGGCATTTGATGATGAAATGACCCTTATTGGAGCTATGTGGAGGGACACAGAAACACTTGTTATTGAATATAAGTAAGCTTTCTACATTAGTATGTTGTTTATTTTTGGAAAATTGTTCTCTCCCTAAAGTGATATTTGTCAGAATGGATGCTAGCACTCAGTAGGATAGAGTGGAGTGGAGTGGAGCCCACGATGTCTGATGTTCATTTAGCACTCTGCTGGTCAAGAAATGCCGCACTTTTTATAGTAACTGAAGGATGATGACTGTGGTCAAAACGCCCTACCTCACACCTTCAACTACTAACACATATAAACATAATTCTTAGATCCTCCTTTATCATTTATTGGGCATGTTGGCTGACTTTTTGTTATAGTTTAATATGTTCATGGTGATGACTGTTTGGACTGTGGCCTTCTGGGTTATGATACCGTGTAACCTTGTAGGTGCATATCAGTGTTCAGAGAAACAAGCTGCCTGCATCCTTATGGTCAGAGTGAGTAGGGTGAGAATATTGTTAGGTTGTGTTGACTAATTGCGAGGACAGTTGTGGCCACATCCACGGGAGGGGGAGAGGAGGCTGAGCCCAGTCCATGCTATTAGAGGTAATGAACCAGAAATGTGAGAAAAGGAGTGTCCTTTCCTGAACCCGTATTAATCATAACAGCAGAGGCATAAAATTGTGAGAAAGGAAGGTGGTCACTCTGGTCCAAGAGAAGGGGAAAAGAAGTGTAGAACCTGGTCTGGACCAGTAGAGGAGAGAAGTGGAATTGTGAGAAAAGACCTCCATTTTCAGGGCCAATGTGATTGGGAAGTGGTAAGTGAGAAAAACAGCTGGGGGGTGGTGTCATTTCAGGAGGAGGTGTCTGTCCTTGGAGTCCTTCAGGAGGTGAATCAGTAAGATACTTTCACTGCTTCTTAAGGAGAATACTTGTGCATGAATATAAGGAAGCATCCTTCAATAATGTGTTGTTTACTCCTGGAAAATTAAAACTGTTGCTAACCCTGACTGTATGAAACAGAGTCTTTGTGGGCTTATCATCATATAACTAGCCAAGAAGTTTCCAGCTTTTATGGAAACTGTTATTGCTATGTTCAACTTAACTTCTTACAGATATAAACATTATTTTGTGATCATCCCCTTTTCTCATCAGTTGCTGAGCCACTAGCACGCTTGTTTGCCGCTTGAACTATATTTATAATGCGTGAAGATTTCCTCTCATAGACTGTACTGACTTTGTGTCTCATAAGCATTAATACAGTAAGTAACTGCATTAACTTGGAGCCAGGATAGCGCAGTCAGTATAGCAACTAGCTACTGGCTGGACAACAGAGGGGTCGGAGTTTGAGTCCTGGTGGGGTCAAGAATTTCGCTTTTCCATGTCTTCCAGACTGGCTCTGGGGTTCACCCAACCTCCTATCCTATGGGTATTGCAGGATCTTTCCCCGGGGGTAAAGTGGCTGGGGTGTGAAGCTGACCACTCACCTCCAGCTAGTGCAGAGGTCAAGAAAACATGGGTTTATACATCCACTCTCCTATATGCCTTCATGGTGTAGTGCTGACTTACTGAAATACAGGGACAACTTTACCATTTTACCTTATTAACTTGAATAATGCACACCCACATTTTCAAATGTAGAATTCAGGAGAAAATAGCGGCTGAATTGTATTCATAGTAAAACATTCCTTTCAGGACTAACAATATTGATTATGAAGTTATCCAGAATAAAGAAACACAATGTAAATAACAATATATTATCCCAGTATTGTTTAAGGTAATGTTATTTTATGTAAGGAATCTGTAAAGTGGCTTCGGAAAATATGGCATTACTTAATGATAGCATTGGGAAAGATGTGCTTTTTAATTATATCAGACAACTAATGAGAATGAAGAATGAAATAAGAAGAGTAACCATGTTTCAAGTGTTGTTTCTATGGGTCACAGTTGCATTATTTTAAGACAACAATAAAAACTGTTTCTCTCTAAATGTAAGCTTTCTTGCTCAGATTGTGGGCAAGTGTCAGCCCAGAGTTGCAAGTGAATTCTCATGTTGTGATTTGGCTGTCAAGATACAATAGCATAGACACTGTCATATGATTTCATTTGATCACGGCAGTATCCATTGGATATTCATTTTGTTCAGCACAGAACTTAGGACAGCAATTACTTTTCTTTCCTATATTATAGTCAGGAGCAGGCTACCTTGAAAGCAAAGCAGCGTATGCTGAGGGAAGACTGGGAGCTGTTCAAAGCACAACGAAAGCTTATTCACCAGAAGATGTGGAATAAGACTGCAAGGTATATTAAAAAAAATCACACTTTACTTGCTTTCAGAGCTGTTTAATACTACAATGTTATGTCTATATTACAAACAAATTATTACATGTTCTGAAGGGGAAAACGCAGAATATTGACACAACTGAAGAGCCTTGTTTAATTCTCTATATGACCACCTTGTTGAATCCTGCAAAAGTCATAGCATGAGCCAAGAATGTGGCTCAAGCAGTAATGCTCCTGCTTTGTATTTGGAAGACACCTAATGAAAATCTTGGCCAGGGCACCAAGTATCAGTGGTGTTTCTGCTGTGTGTTTGCAGGCATCTGTGGTATTATATGTATTTTCTTAATGCAACTGACACCTCTAAATTTATACAGAGAGTGGGACTGTAGGTCATAAACAGTGCCTTCAACATGTCTCCACACATGTAAAGCCCATTTGTTTTTCTGCCATTGCTTTGATATGTAGTTCCTTTTCTGTATACAGAGACAAGTGGATAACATTTAATGAATATATAATAAATGGAAATTAGTAATTGATTTTACATTAAAATGTTTGATGCATCGTAATAGAATATTCAGAGAAAATAGTTAACACAATTTTCATATGATGGCCGATGTAACCAGTTATTTAACACTCTTTCTTGAGAGGAAGGGTTCCTGCTCATCATTCTCCCATAACCCACTAAGTTTTAAACCACTGATTCAGCTTTAATTAATTTCATTATGAAACTGCAGTTATCCATTTTCATATTTTTCACATTGCGCCACGGGAAGAAAACATCTCGGAAAGAAGTGCTAATACCATGGGATTTAAGTTACTGTAAAGATAATTCTTAAAATTGGTTGAGCTTTAATATTTTTTTCTTTTGAAGTAAAAAGGCAAAGAGCATGAAATTAAAATTTTCATTGATGAGAAGTTGTGTGAGCACTTCATGTAGCACTTAACTGGTTACCAAAATACAAGTATGTAGACCACAAGAACTATGTTGTGTAAATGCAAGAAACTGTGTTATGGTTTGCTTTTCCAAATACTGAAAATCAGGAAACAGTATTCATCATATATTGTTCTTTCATTTTTATAAATCAGATATAATGATCTTCAAATTTGGCATGAGAGAATAAATATGAAGATGATGATTATGAGGAGTGCTAATTGCTATTTGGCATATTTGTGAAAACACCTAGCATATTGGACTTGAAAGGATTCTGACGATGGTGTGTCTGTACAGAACTATAAGGTTTATTTTGGACTCTATCCATCATCTGGTGTGTATGTTTGTCTTATATACCAGATGATGGATAGTGTCCAAAATAAACCTTATAGTTCTGTACCTAGCATATTACTTAAGACATTAAATTTGGAATGTATTATGTCTTAATGATATAGTAGTTTTTGCTTTCTTTGCTTACAACCCTGATAATTAAATGACATATTCAGTATTGTTAGAAACCTTCTTTTTCTGATTTTATCATTGCAAAAATAGAGGGTAACTTTAAATTCAGGCTTGTATGGTAATTGTGAAGGCAGAAGCATGTACAATCCAGTCATCAATTTACAGTGGACTCCGAGAGTTTGATGAGCATTTCATGACAGTAGCTAGCCGTGGAGGCCCTACACCAGGTCCTGGACCTGGTAGCCCCAGAGATAGTAGTCCTGATGATGATACAGGAGGTTCTGGGGGCTACTGTCCTGGCTGTAGCTCTCGCAGGGGCTGTCCATGCGATGAATGTGCTGTGACTCATCTTCTGACCTGTGGTGGTCTCATCACACCACCAGACTCTCCAGGACCTCTGTACAGGTAATAAATAACTGCATATTCTTGCTTAATTCCTAGTTCTGTAAGTACAGATTGCCCAGATGTGCTAGAGAATGGTTTCCTCCCATCTTCAATTACAGAGACAGTTGCTGTCAACCTGAGTTTCATAAAGCCAGTAGATTTTAAACAATGAACATAAATTATGAATTTCATAGGCATATCATAGAAAACAGCCCTTTTACTGGGAAATGTTCCTTGTTTTAAATTTCCATGGTAACACATTGCTGCTGGCAAATTTTCGAAGACGCCATTTTACAAAACTCGCTGTGCCTGAAGTAATCAGCATATGTAGTGAAATGAAACGTTCAACCAAAAGAGTGCTTATAGAATCTCTTGTAGCTTTTCATAATTCCTCAGCCACTCTTTCAAAAACATCTACAATGTGTTTATAAACCTGTGCAATCAGTGTGCCTAACTTGTGTTTTGCTTTTGTTTTCCATAGGTTAGATGGTTGATGCGTGAACAAAATGGTGTTTGAAGAGTACTGTCTTCTGGGTTGTTGTACAGCAGTCATGTCAAACATGCGGCCCGTGGGCCGCATGCGGCACCCATAGCCACAAAGTGCAACCCCCCAACTTTTAGAGCTAATTGATATTAAAATCAATATTAAAATTTTAGTAGAAATATTTTTTGTAAAGACAATTTTCCAACAGACCAGAAGACAAGAAGACTCACACAGACATAAATTAGCAGGCTGCAGGAAATTCAATGTTTTGCTGTTTCTAACATAATTTCTTGTGTAATCTCTCTTTTTACATATTGAAAAGCTGTTTGATACTTGTCAAAAATGGCATTCTCTTGCTTTTTAAAACTGTAAGATATGTGACTTTAGGTAATTATATTGAAATTATTCCTAAATAATAAGTAGAATTAAATTTCCTTGTATCAAAATCTAATGTATATTTCTATTTTGAAGTGCGGCCGTGGACTATTATTTATAGGGCTGAGGTGGCCCTCTGTACAAGTTGAGTTTGACATGCCTGTTGTACAGTGTATTCTAGTAGAAGTGTAGCTTGCTTGTTGCTTATCAACCCTGAAGATGGAGGCAGTGGGTTCCTCTGAAATGTCTGTATGCTTCTACCAGACTACACAGTATCACATCCCAGAAGATGATACTATTCATGGTTATCAATGTGATAATCCTAAATCTGACAAAACAGTATCTGTTGCTAACAGTAATTTAGAAAATAATACAAATGTGTTGTATGACAAAATACATTATTATATCAGTGGACTTATGAAAGCAATTTGCACCAGATACTGTGATATAACAGATGTCCCCATCTTATATGTAGTTAACATTTAATAGAAATTGTTTTCTTGTTTCCAGCCATAAAGTTGATGTCATACAAGAGTATCGAGTTGAGGGTGAGGGGAGCGAGCAGCCCCCAGAATCTCCGTCAGAGCCAGACATTGTGAGTGAAGGTGCTGTGGGGGGAGGAGAGGCAGAAGGAATGGAGCTTGCTTCATCACAGCAGCAGAGTTGCGAGTGTCATGTGTGCACTGCTCCACTGACACCTGTAAGCATGCTTTTGGAAATATTGTCATTAATACAGTGAACGTGAAGTTCTGATACACATTGTATACATGGATTTTTTAATGAAAATGGTAGAATCACCTAGCAAAATATTAGCAGTACTTTTCAAATCATGTGTGCCACACCAAAAAGTTCAAAGGAAATTTAATATTTTATTCAGCACTACACTAACTAACAATTAACTTCATAACAATGATGAATTGAGTCATTTGTATGATATAGTTTGTTTCAGATGACCTGCAGAATGTATTCATGAAGTCTGTCATTGTGTGTGGTACAACTTACGTGTAAATTTAATGTGTATAACTTCACAACAGTGATTAATTGAGATGTTTGTAGGATGGAATTTGTTTGAAATGACCTGCAGAATATGTTCATGAAGTCAGCCATTGTGTGTGGTACATGCTACATGTATATTTAATGTATTACGTAGGCTTATCTCAAGGTCAGCCTGTTTTGAGGTTTTGTTCAGAGATAGTTTCAGGGGGTGGAAGCCTCACTTCAGATATTTAAACAGTGTTGCTTCTCATTTTATATTTACTAGATGTTTCTATATGAAGCAGGTGATGGTCGATTAAGATCTATGTGCAACCCTGTGTGTCCATGTGTGTGAGCAACTGCAAACAAGCTCACATATTTGTCCTTTTCTTCCTCCTCACACCTTTACTGCAGATGGTGCAATCTGCCAGTGCAGTCCCTCTTAAATATGCAGTGAAATCCCCATTCAGGTTTCCATAGGAGAGAATTGATTTGAGCAATGAGAAAGTTTTGTGATAAATCTTGAAATTTAAGCAGTGTTGCTGCTGTTATTTCAGATGGATCTGATGGAAAGCTATGAATGTCACTCGTGTGTTCCTGGAGGAGCATCAGCTGTCAATATGAACCTCCATGCAGGGGGTTTTCATTTATACCCACATATCCATGGTACTGGAGGAGGTGAGTTTGTTAATAGTTCCACAAATTATCCTAGTTATTTTCTGTACTTCCCAAGTAAGCATTTATACTGTATTTATGTACATACTTTACAGTTCCTATTTTTAGTCAAGAAATTTTATGTTTGGTCTGATTCTGTTTGTACATTCTAAAAGTGCTTGGAGTATTTGAGTAAAGGATGATTTCTGAGGATATTACTAATATTGTAGGGTTACCTCTTCCCCTGGAATCAGGTACTTTATTGAGAACTTTATTCTATAGCCCTAGACTCAGTCCCTCTATATTAATGGCCCATGGAGATGTAGTCGTATTTTGACCTGCATGGGTCCATATTCAGCATATTCACACCATCCCATTAACTGGTGGAATTCTTCATTTGTCACCAGAAGACACACCTGATGAGAGTTTGGAGCCCCTATACAGGTTATATCAGTACAAAACTGATCTGGCATTGTTCATAGTTTCTGTACTTTTGCAGAAATTTTCTGATTGGTTAAGTAATTTTTGATTCTGTAATATTTGTGTAGGCTATAATTTTTTGAATAAGTATGATTATGCCATAATTACTTTATTGTTATTTTTAAGTGTTTTTAGTTCACTCATGCACCCAAAGTTAAAAAATTGGTGCAAAGACATTGCACATACTGACATGTATATGATTGACCATTACTTTAAAAATAAGATTGATTACTGCATGGTAGACCATTGTTGGTTGCTAAATACATTAAAAACCCCATCTGACGAATAAAGCCAGTTTTTATAAAATTCGACATTGTGTTTGGGTCCTAGTATGTGCTCTGTTATATTCATGAATATGTCACCTGTCTAGGTATATTTAGGGAGATGATTTTAATTCATTATTGAAATTAATTAAAATTGTGAGCGTTTTAAAAAAATCTCCATTTAGTGTTTTGGGGTCAGTCTGAAGGACTGCGTGTTTGGAGCCAGAATGTTTATATTCACTAGGCAGTGACCTGGGATGGATGAACTCTTGAATATGTAATATGAATAAAATCCATTGAAATGCTAGTGCTGGTGAGGTACACATCCAAGCATAATTACATACAGACAGACAGCATACTGAAAAGTGGATATTTACCCACATATGTTTTCTTGTATGGTGCTGAAAAATAGTTATTTCCAGCAAAATGCTAAAAAGGGGTTTCCCTGTGATCATTGGTTAGTAAGTAGATGCCTGGAGAAAGCTCTTGAATATAATGTACTCTTTGCTTCCTTCAGTCTGATGTAATGTAGATGAATGTGGCAGGATTGGGGGCTACTCCTGTGATGAATGTAATTATGGCTCATTTGTATCATGGAAAGTAATGCTTTGTAAAATGCTTACAGGTGGTGATGCTGGCAGCCTGTATCCTCACTTGTACAACATTCCGCCTTCCATTCTCACACAGCTGGGCTCTAAACATTCACGCCTTGGTGTTCACCTTCAGGATCAGCTTCAGGTAAGAATATTATATGAACAGAGGAATTCCTCACAGAAACATTAAGAACAAAGGTGGCGTGGTGGTTTTATAGTATGACACTGGATTCTCATTCATAGGGTTCTGAGTAAGATTCCTGGTCATATCTGTATACAGATTCTTCTGCTTTGAAACTTCATCTATCAAAAAATACAACTTTGGGAATGTGAAGAATCTAGAGCCCGTTACTTCCATTATGGTTGGGAATCTGCGTTAAACTGAGGGCCCATTATTCTCATGAACACCCTATCACTGGGTATATTGTGATCTGTCGTGTGAATGGTCCCACTTCAGAAGCGTATTCTGCATCCATGTATAGACGGACAGAGGCCAGAAATGTCAGACAGACTAGTTGGAGGCACTAGAAACCAACATTTAGAACTTTGCACATTAGTTGTAAGGTTACTAAATAATGTGATTTGTGGAAAAGGGTAGTGGGATCGTACACAAATTTATGTCCTCTTAAGTGTCATAGCAAAACTTAACCTCTGTAAATGCATAATTTTTTGTTCTTCATTATGTCATAGTGTCAAAATATCATTTAGTATGTAATCAGATGGGTTATGCCGTATCATAGTTGGTTGAGGCTCTATGTTACAAGCCAGAAGGTCACGGGTTCAGTTCCTGATGAGGTTATTGGACTTTTCAGTTGATCTTATCCTTCCAGCCGCACTATGGCCCTGGGGTCAACTCAGCCTTTAACAGAAATGAGTACCAAGAATCTTCCTGGGGGTAAAAGATGGCTGGCACGTAAGGCTGACAACCTTACTGCCATCTGTGAGCCAATTGTCTAGAAAATGTGGGAGCCTCGGCCTCTCATAACCCTATGGGCCTCCAGGTCCAGTTACAAGAATAACTTTACCTTTTGTGGAGTCAAACAGAATGATTGTTGAAGGTGAATCATGAATTGAAAAGGATTTAGAAGTAAGCAGTCATGATCTGATTGAGGTGCTATCTCAGCATTTGCCTTGAGGGACTGAGGAAGACCACAGAAAACCTCACTCAGGAAAGCTGGTGTTCCAACCAAGATTCACATCTAAAATCTTGTGAATACAAGTCCAGAGTGTGACTCCTACACCAGCTGGCTTGACTGATTACATGCTGAGTTAGGCATTTTTATTAAAACATAAGTCAAAATTCATTAGTAATGCAAGTGGTGTAAGCACAGAATTTTAATTTTATACCATAAAAGGAAGCTTTTAATTACAATTAAAAATGGTGTTGGTGTTTAATAACAATTACTTTCGCAAATTCTGCAGTGTACAGAATTACTACATTGCATTTCATGTATGTAAAGAAATCGACAGCAGTTCACTATGCATTCAAGATTTCTGCTTTGTGTAGTGTAATGTACACATTGCATTACATGATGTATTTTTGTTAAACATTATTTTTTTTTGTTATTATCATTATCTTACTTTTTGTATGGGAGGGGAAGGTATTAGAAAAGAATCAATGTTGACAGCAACCATAGGATAGAATAGAGATTCTAGTTGTTGATGCAGTAACGTTCACATTGTCTGTCTGTGCATGCTCACGCATATCAGAATGAGACTTCCAGAAGCAATAGTTTCTGTTCCACATTACTGCCTCCACTTTACTGTTTTGTTCGATTTGCGTATATGAAAATGCAGTTTGCTATTTTATCTTTTTTCTTTGTTTAAGACCTTGGTTACAGACCTTAATTATATCATTTTGTATTATATTTGTATTTTTCATATGGTGAGCTGTCATATTCAGCGAGAAAATTTATGGATGTAGTGTGACTGAAGAAGTGCTATGGTTTGTTAACATAAGTTAATATAATAATTCATGGTCAATTCCATGAAAAAAAAATGTCAGATAATTGCTGTGATGTGACAGAGTTACCAAGCAGTGGTATGTTGTAGGCTTGTATAGGGGGGAGTCCTCAGTTTGAATCTCAGGTGGGACGTATTTTTTGTTGCTTTCCTCAATCCGTCCAGTAGAATGCCAGGATATTAACCTGATTAAGCCATGCCCACTTTATTCCAGCTCATTCACCAGTAATTTTTTTTAATGCTAGTGGGTTGGGAGTAAGTCCCTTGTACTGTGGCCACTTCTGGCCTATTGTACCAGCCCCAGATGATAGGTGACGGTGATTGTGGAGCAGTTGGTGGAATGAAGATTGGCAGGGTAAACCGAAGTACTCGGAGAAAACCTGCCCCAGCCCCACTTTATCCACCACAAATCCCACTTGACCGGACCCGGGATCGAACCCGGACCGCCACGGTGGGAAGCCAGCGACTAACCGCTCGAGCTATGGCACGGCCCATTCAGCAGTCATCTTACTATTTTATGCTGTATAGTCTGAAATAGCGACAGCATTCTAAAACAAACTATAAAAGGAATGCTCGATATCCATTATGTACCTTTCCTTCTACTATGAGAACAGCTTCAAAACTAATTGGCATGAGTCATGAGGAAGTTTGTGAATTTACAGTTAATGTTTTTGTAAGATTATGCGGGTTCTAATGGAAAGTGTGATGTTCCAGTTAACAACAGGTGCTGAGGCTAAGGCAGCTCACTTACTCCATTCTCAGCTGACAAGTCCTGCAATGTCCACTGTGGCTGATCTGCTACCATTAGAGGCTCTTCCACCACCATCAAGTCCTCCTAGGGTTACCAATACAGCAACTCCTGTCCCAAGCCATCCCAAACCCACAAGCAGCCCACGATCATCACCTTCTGCACCAAAAACACCCACATCCGTCCTACAGCCACATAAACAAAACTCTTCTGCGATGGTATCAGTTGCCACAAAGGAAAGCATTCCAGTCTCAGAAGCCTCAATAGCAAAATTGGGGGCTCCGTATAGGGAGCAAAGTGGAAATGGGAAAATCACAGTTCAAAACTTGCAGAGTTCTGCTTCTACACAGACAAGCCCTAATAAAGCCAAGACTCACCTCCAGCAACATGTTGGAGTGGCTCAGCAGAAGTCCCTTGGGGGGATGACCGCCCAGGCAACACTACCACGACAGCAGCTCTCTCAGAACTTTGTCCCTGTAAAGAGGGGTCCTGCTGTTGCTGCGTCCCAACAGCCATCAGCAAATGGCCATCACCACCCTGTGAGTTCTGTGAGTTCCTCAGTCAGGCATTCCACAACACAGACTGCCAGTCCAGCAGGGCACTCCCATGCCCATGGTCACCAGCCTCTACCTGATGTTGTCAAGTCCGCTGCCACAAGCACAACACCGCATCGAACAACAGCTGGTTCTGCTGCTTCTAAGGTTCCTGCTCATTTGTGCCACAAGAGTCTCAAGAACGGAGGAAGTATTGAACCAATCAAGCGAGTGGCATGTACTGACTGTAAGTTTACATTTAATTGGACATGGTATCCTAATAATGAAGCGTGTTTAACTAGGTCACTTAATTTAGTGCATGTTAAATAATTAAGAAGGTCAAACAAAAGGGAACAAATGAAAGAGGTGAGCCTTTAGTTCTTTTAAAGACAAAGGAACTTAAGTATATAGTTTTTTACTTTCTGAGTATTACCAACCATCATTTTTTTAAACAGCATTTTGGAGACTGGACTCAGCATCTGTCCTCAGATAAAAAGCCTACTTTGTGGGCCCAGTAGATAGAGCTGAAGCATCACAACATTGCTTTAAATAAAAACAGGGCACTGGATAATGTCCAGAAAGTGAGTAAGTGTATTAATATACCTTTATTATGAACTTTTATGAATTTAAATATATTGGTTTTATTTAAAGATCCAGACAGTGAGGTGGTTGACTTGGAGGATTCATCAAGCCAAGATGACACTTGTTCAGAACGTTCTAGTTCTACTACCACGTCAACTCAGCGCGATTCTCGCCACTGCGATTGCTGTTACTGTGAAGTATTTGGCCATGGCATGGTGAGAGCTTTTTGTGTACACATTAACAGTAGTAACTGGTGCTTCTGTGAAATACAGGTGCTTTATTGATGCAGACTGAGGGAAAAATTTGATGATTTCATATTTAATCCTTTCATTGTTGTAGGCAGAAATGTTACATAGAATGTACAGAATTCTAATATCAGTATTTTGTTCTCAGGTATTCCAAAACAAGAAAAGAAATGTTAGTTTTAGATACAAAATAAATTTTAAACATGGAAAGTAATGTGATAATTGTATACAGGAATAGTCCTTATTTATGCATGCCTAAGTTACACTTTTTGATCCAAGGTTTTATTTCAAAACTGTAGGTGTAACTGTATATAGGTCATCCTCTTCTCTTTCTTGTAATATCAGAAATGCGTAACCCATCCTGAGTGTGCATCTAACCCATTAGCTTGCACATCCAGGAAACAATTGTAAGCGCAGGTAGGCATTGAAGTATAAAATAGGATAACGATCTGATGGAATATATATGTGTGTGTGTGTGAAAGTATTTTAAAGCCTTTTTCATCAGCCCCTTGATCTATTTACAGAATGGACCATCTCTCAATGCTTTATACCTACACAGTGATTTGACAGAAGTGTTGGATGTTGACATAATTAAATACATCATAAAATATGCAAACTGATTACATGGTTATGAATATCAAACAAGAATAACCATATTTGCAAAGTGAACTTGAAATCTATGATACAAACAACTTGTTCTGCTGAATATACCACCCCAGATGCATGTGTTATCTCATTAATGGCACTCTGGTGCATACATTTTTTTGTTTTGGGTTAGCTTCATCTTCTCATTGGTTTTAACAGAAGCATATAGAAAGGTTGACTTGGTAACACAGGTCATATGAAAAACATAACTGACAATATGTATATCATTCTTAATGCAGTAGGTCTAGTTTGTGTCTTCATGGCTGGTTTGATCTCCATTGTAGCAATTTTGGCACTGGTTTTGATTTCATGGCTGTAAACTGATACCTTATGCGTGAAACATATTGTTTTATATTTATTTTTTATTGTCATTGCATCATCATCATCGTAAGCGCTGCTTCCTGTGCAGCTTATATTGTCTGTTTTTATGTATGATAGTATGTGATAAATGACAGTTAGGAGAAATCCACACTCTTCTAGTTGTCACATTTCTATCAGTATTTAAGCAGTATTTGTCTAAATGTATGATTCTTTTGTCGTGCCTTTAACAATATAGGATTTTCCTCAAATTTGATATAGCTCCCTAACCAAAATATAGTGACATAAAGAAGCCACGTGGTTTCAAAAATTATGGCTGGAACATGAAGTTTACAACTCCTCTCCATCTAACCCTAAGGTGAAGGGTGAATGGAGCTTTACCTCCACATCCCTTGTGCTGGACCTGAGATGCGAGTATATGGTGTGTACATGGCATGAAGAATTCTAGTCTGTTCTTCTTTCTTTTTACAGCCATCTGTTGCCCCTGTGAGTCGCAATTATCAAGAAATGAGAGAAAGACTAAGACTGCTTCTCACAAAGAAAAAAGCGAAGTGTAAGATAGGTGGTGCTGGGCCTGGTGGTACCAGTGGGATAGGAAGTGCTACAGTACCACAAGCTGGGGCAGCACCATCACCTGGTACAGCAGAAACTGCAGTGAAATTGAATGCAGTGTCTGCTGCAGGAGTCTCGTCTGTACCTTCCCCAGCAGCCTCGGGCCCAGTTCTTGCCAAGCAGGCCTCGGCTGATTCCCTTCCACAGCCTGTAAAAGACCCAAGAGACCTGGAAGCATTGCTAGACTTCATTGAGGGGAATCAGTCTAGTAAATGCAAAGATGCTAAGAAAGCTGCCAAGAAAGCTAGACAGAAACAGAAAAAGGTGATTGCTTTAATATCAGCTTCACTGTTTGTCAGAATAGTTACTAACCCATGTGAGAGATGAGAGCTTAAAGCAATTTAGTACCCAGTAATACTGTATTATGGCAAGTACTCTTTGAGTATTTCATCTTTGTGTTCTCAGCCTGAAAACTGACTTCTAGCTGAGGTTTTTTTTTATACATTTTCCCAAGTTCCTACAGGAACATACTGGGATTGTACTTCAAAATAGACCACTGCCACTTCCTTCCACATCCCCTCTGATTCATTACTTGCTGATAGTTCACCGGTAGTTTTGTATGGGTGTGAAACATAGTGTTTGGCATTAAGAGAAGAACCTGGCCTGAGTTTTTGACAACAGGGTGTGGTGAATGTTTGAACCAGTGGGGTTGAAGCTGGAGAAAACTGCATAATAAGGAAATCCATAATATGTATTGCACACCAGATGTACTATAATAATCAAATCAAGGAGGATGAGATGGATAGGGTATGTAGTATGAATGTGACGCATGCATACAGGGTTTTGGTAGGAAAACCTGAAGGAAAGAAGACCACTAGGTAGACCTAGACACAGATGGAGGGTAATATTAAAATGGATCTTAGAGTGATAGGATAATGGGTATGGACTGGATTCATCTGGCCTGGGGTAGAGATCAGTGGCAGGTTCTTATGAACACAGTAATGGACCTCCATTTTTTTTGTAAAATGTTGGGAATTCCTTGAGTGACTGAGCAACTGTTTGCTTCTCAAGAAGGACTTGGTTCTATGGAGTTATTTTATGTTAAAATTTGTGACTAGACAAGATATAGAAGAAGTTTCATTAGTTTTTCTTAAATTGTTTTCTTTTACTGAATCTGTATGTTCAGAGGTATGGTAGTCTAGAATACTTTAAAGCAAACTACATGTTCGCGCACTATGGCCCTGGGATCGACTCAGCCTCTAACAAAATGAGTACCAGGAACCTTCATGGGGGTAAAGGCTGGCTGGCGGGTAAGGCTGACAGCCTCACCGCAATCTGTTACCCGATTTTCTAGAAAATATCAGAGCCTCAATGTCTCATGACCCTATGGGCCTCCATAGCCTGTTACAGGAATAGCTTTACCTTTAACTTTTACTATGTGTGTGTTAATTTATGTGACTATTCAAGTGTATGTGAAACCTAAAACACTTTAGTCAGATAAATTGTTTAGTGGTTTTGTTGTATTCAGTTTTGACACTTTGAAGTTTGTATTGTATCAGATTTTATTCATGTTTTTCATTATATATTTCTGTTTCCAGTTGGAGGAGAAGGAGAAGAAAGATCAAGAAGAAGCAGAGAGGCAGAGACTTGAAGAGCTTCAAACTAAAACACCAGAAGTTACAATTACTGTAGTCAATTCTTCCGGTTTACATGGCGTCGGTTCTAATGCATCTTCCTCATCACTGCAAAGTAACTCTGTGAGAGGAAATAAGAATTCAAAGAAACAAAATTCAGTGTTGGTAGAGCAGAGAAATGACAGCAAGGAAGAGGGTGTTTGTGTTTCTAGGGAAGCTGCTCCTACGCGTGTGACTTCTTCAGCCTCACAGCAGCCTCCTCAAATGGTAACCATCAAGAGGGTGATGGAAGGCAATGGAAGTGAACCTACTGTAACCATCACTCTGAAGGGGGCTACACCTGACAAAGACAAAGTCCTCTTCACCTTGGTCAATGGGCAAGGTGACTACCGTACGTCCAATAAGTTTTTTCACTCTTACAATTCAGATGTAGTGTTATGGGTAGTACCATGTTTAGAAATTGGCATTGCAGGATCATCATCATCATCAGTAATCTGTCAGACGACAGGTCCACAGTCTCTTCCAAAACAGTTTCTCCACTTAATGCGATCTTCTGTTTTTGGAAAGAGACTATCCAGGAAAAGTGATAATGTGGTAGTTTTTCCATTTGCTTTCCACATCGCAGTACAACAGCCGTACAACAAACCACTCTGGTCACGCCTGTTGTTATACGAACTTGAACCATCTCGAGCATCATTTGCTCTGTGCTTCAAGTCGCTGCTGATGACGCTGCTTCCGGCATCAGTTTTTGGTTTTTGGTGTCTCTCTTCGTCTGATGCCTACCCTTTGACCTGTCCAGCAAGGGAGGCCCTGCCAGTAGCTACGCTACCGCTGGTATAGCTCTCAGGGTCCTTGGCATACTCAAACCCCCTCACCACGATAAGGTGGAGACACCAAGGAGGGGGCATTGCAGGATATCAGTGTAAAATTGTGCAAGTAGGCTGTATGAGGTGTTTTGGAACCTTCGCTGTGTAGTTTTTAAAATTACAAATGTTTGTTTGTAGCTTTGTCCATCTTCTGACTGAAATGCTGTTTTGTTTGCCCCGCACTACCTAATTCTTTTTGAGGGAAATTGCGCAGCTACCTGTGTGAAGACTCCATGCTTATATAATTTTAAAACAGTTGTGTTCGTGGTTAGAGTACTTTATCATACCATTCCTTTTTTAACGACCAAGAACTGAAAAATCTTTATTAGCAGATGATCTGTTAATGTAATCGTAATTGTACTGAACTAGGGCTTTAATGTCAGGATGGTGGTTGGATTTTAGATAGTAGTGGTATTTTTATTGAAGAAAGCTACATTTCATCAAACTGTTAAGTGCTGTAACATTCTAGTAAAAAATACTTGAAAGAAAGCAAATTTCTAAATTCTGTAATGCTGTTTTACTATTATAAAAGTCGTTATTATAGTACTATCAGTAGACACCCGAAATAAAACAGGAAGCTTGCTATAAATCCAAATATCCAGCACCCATGTTTCTAGAAATGTATTCCTTTCTGTGCTGGAATTGAACTCTGATTTAGAAATTTACATTTGTATGATAAAAATGGAAAAACAGGTCTCTACTCAAGTAAAATTTACTATTTGACACCGTTTGAAACCAAAGTTAGAGAAAATTCTTGATGGTCTATTTTTCTGTCACAGTCTTAAAATATTTGTCTTGGTTCAGGCCTAATTTTGTTATAAGTTTTTCTCTCTGGAATATGCTAGAGGTTACCCTACAGATACGTAGCACGTCCACAAAGTAAGTTTCCCACTCATCCCACAGCTAGCAAACCTTATATTGCGCGAAGCGACTGCACGTACGTGATAGAGCAACGACGTAGCATGGCGAGTGCACAAAATGGAATTTCCCGCTTTCCCACAGTAGCATCGTTGCAGCTGTTGAAGATGGAGGCTCTTATTCCAACTCCCGCCGACTGTGAAGTGCGGTCAGTGATAAAGTTTTTGAATGCACAGAGCATAGCACCGATCGAAATTCATCATCAGCTGTGCCGGGTCTATGGGCCTAACGTCATGAGCAAGCAGATGGTGCGTCGCTGGTGCAGACAATTTTCAGCAGGTCGACGAAGTGTGCATGATGAGAAGCGCGGTCGGCAGCCATCCATCATTACAGACGACCTGGTGGAGCTTGTGCGGGAACACATTATGGAGAATCGTCGCGTCACAATTGCGGAACTCAACAGTCATGTCCCACAGATTTCCCGCTCCTTGTTGCACGAAATTGTCACGGAGCACCTGTTCTTCAGGAAATTGTGTGCCAGGTGGGTGCCAAAGCAGCTGACACCAGAACACAAAACAAAGCGCATGGAGTCAGCATTGACCTTTCTGCAGCGGTACCATGATGACGGCTACGAGTTTCTGGACCGGGTCATCACAGGTGATGAAACGTGGAGTGCACACATTACCCCAGAAACCAAGCAGCAGTCAATGCATTGGCATCACAGTGGATCTCCCTGTAAGACGAAATTCAAGCAGACGTTGGCATGGAAATTGATGTGCACGGTATTCTGGGACAGACGGGGCGTTCTCCACATCAACTTCCTAACCAGAGGTGAGACAGTGAATGCTGAGCGTTACTGTGAAACACTGCNGTTTCTGGACCGGGTCATCACAGGTGATGAAACGTGGAGTGCACACATTACCCCAGAAACCAAGCAGCAGTCAATGCATTGGCATCACAGTGGATCTCCCTGTAAGACGAAATTCAAGCAGACGTTGGCATGGAAATTGATGTGCACGGTATTCTGGGACAGACGGGGCGTTCTCCACATCAACTTCCTAACCAGAGGTGAGACAGTGAATGCTGAGCGTTACTGTGAAACACTGCAGAAATTGCAACAGGCCATTCAGAACAAGCGGCGCGGGATGCTTAGTGCCGGTATTGTCTTCCTGCACAATAACACTAGGCCGCACACGGCTCGACAGACAGCAAGTCTCCTGCAGGAGTTCAGCTGGGAGGTGTTTAATCATCCACCCTACAGCCCGCACCTCACTCCCAGTGATTTCCATCTTTTCCTACACTTCAAGAAATTCCTGTCTGGTGAGCGTCAGCGTTTTGAGAATGACAGAGAGGCGGAGATGGTTGTCACACAGTGGTTCCAATCCCAGGCGGCAGACTTCTATGACACAGGTATTCAAAAGTGGGTTCCACGGTAAGACAAATGTCTCAATTCTGGTGGCGATTATGTTGAAAAATAGCTGAACGCTTGCTGTATCTGTTGTAATAAATATTTCCGTGAAATTATGTTTTGTTTCTGTAAACGGCCCCAGGGAAACTTACTTTGTGGACGAGCCTCGTATATCTTATTTTGGAGGATTCAGATCAGTTTTTCTCCATTCCTGTTTTCTGTTTGCAGTTTGTCAGTCACAAGAGGACTCTAAAGTGGGGATGCAGCCAATGTCCAGCCAGAATGCAAAACATAGTCAATGTAACACAAACAGTAATTCAGCCAGTAGTAAGAAAAAAAAGAATAAAGGAAACAATAACAATTGCTCCCAACAGCAGAACAATCCATCATCATCATCATCATCAACAACAACAACAACAACAACATCATCATCTAAATCTCAACATTCCACTGCCTAAAATACAACTTCATGTAAACCTTCCTTAGGAGCAAATTCTAGCTCTGCACCAAACGGTGGGAGCAGGCAACAAACTAAGTCCAGTATGACACAACAACATCCCTCTTCAGCTGTTATTGTTAATCATGCGGCAAATGATGTGCTTTCTGTAATGTCTCCTCTCAGTCATGTTCCATCAGTGAATCAGTTCACCACAGCAACCGCCATTCAGATTAATAATGTCATAAACACAATTTCCTCCGCTGGGAAGGCACCTCCAGTATCCTCATCAGTTGCAGCCCAGAGGTTGAAATCTGAAGCCACTTTGCAAACTGCTACCTCTCAGTCATTTAGCTTAGAAAATCTCAAGTTGCCTCCTGGTATAACAATCACAAAGGTAGATGGCCCAACTGCTGCAGCTTTGAGAAAATCACAGTTGAAACCTTCAGACAGTTCAAAGTCCACTCCTTCTGTGACATCCAGTCATAGTACAGCTACAGTCATATCTGGTCCAGCAGCTGCAGTCAGCTCAAGCAGGCTTGGTGGATTTGGTGGAGGAGGCGGTATCTCTCAAGGGATTAGTGGCTCAAATGTCATTGTGGTTGACACTGTCAAAATGAAAGAAGAACTGCAGGCAGTTACACTGAATGGGAGCGATTCCAGCCACAGCAATAATGGCAACAGTAAGAAAAAGAACAAGAAGAAAAACAAGAATCAGAATAACACTGGAAGCACAAATGGAAATGGAAATAGTAACGGTCAGTTGCATCGTCAGCAGCAACTTGGAAATGGAGTAGCTACAAATCAGGTAAACGGAAAACACATAACCAGCACTGGAGGGAAGAGTCAGAATTTGCAGAATAGTACAAGTGTACGAATTCAGCCACAAGTATACCCCCTTTTAACAAAACCCAGTGTACGTCCACAGACTCTTGCAATGAATGCCACCCAATTAGCTCAACAACCAGCCATTATCAAGGTGAATGGTTCAATGGTGACCATTAGAAATCCTGCTCTCCAACAAGCCATGGCCACTAACAGTAGATTCACACAAGGCAATGGACAAGCAGAGATTCTCGTTAATGGTGAAGTGCCTACCAGCAAACCAGGAAACAAGCCTGGGAAAAAGACTGCTAATTCTGCCACTACAAATGGGATTGTCAGGGTGAAAGGAAAGGAAAATGGCTCAATGCCACCACGATTTGCAAATCCTGATAATGTGGTTTTGAGGAACAGGTTGCCGCCACATGTGGAATATAATGGATTGAATAGCATACCAGGGCTTCATATTAGTAAAGTGAATTCACCAGATGGAAGAGTAGAGGAAAATGGGATCACTGTCCGAGGATCTGCAAATATGCTGCCACCTAGGATGCGAATTCAGCAGCAGCGATCACCACCTTCTCATATTACTGAAGTTAGAAAGGTGAATCACAATCACGTTAGTACCCGGCAGGAAGGCTTACCACCGCAGCATGCTTCGGCAGCTAGATCAGCAATGCGTGAAGCCATGGCAGCTTCACTAGCTGCTGCCAATGATGCAAAGAAGAAAAAGAAGAAGAAGAAGGGGAATGGTCCTCAAGGGCATTCAGATGACTGGAATCTTGTTGGTAAGTTTCATTTACTTGGACAGTTGTAATGTTTGATGGAGGACAAATGCATACATAACATCTTTACAACATGTTTTGGTCTGATTTGAATTGAGACAGAAGCACTAGTTGAGACATGACTTTGCTGATGTCTTTTCACCCTAGAGCAACAGTATTAGAGGAACACTGATGATTGAGTTACGATGATTATACTATTTAGTAACCACTTGGGAGACTGACGTAGATGGATGGATAATGTTAAAATGGATCTTTAAAATATGGTGTGAGAATGTGGACTGGATTTATGCGGCTCAGAATAGGATCCATTGATAGGCTTGTATGAGCACATAACCTTGGGGATCCTTAATAGTTGGGGAATTTCTGACCAGTTAAGAGACTGTAAGCTTCTCAGAAACAAGGATTGTGCTACATGTGCTTAGTTATCAAACAGGTAGTTTTAGGAATTTTTTATATGTATATATTGCATCATGATTTTTTAAATGTGTACTTTTGTGCACATCATACTGAAAAGTTTTAGTAAAAGGTTTTAATTAGCAAAGTATCGTTTCTCATATAGCCTGGTCTCAATGAATATTCACTTGCGGTCGTAAAGAAGTCATTAAAGCAAACTCCTGTCCAATGTGGATTCCCTTACACATGCAAAAAGCAATGCAAAAGTGTAAACATCACACCGTGTGCCCTGGGGAAAGCCTGATATCACTGCAGTTCAGTCATGCTATTCTAAAACTGTAAGTCCTCTAACCTTTGGACTAAGAGTTAAAATATGTAAGTCTTATCATAATTGAAAGGTCTGTAGGCATGCAATCCAGACTGGTGCTTTTGGAAACTTGATCGTGAAAGGTAGGACCATTGATTGTGCATGTGGGTGGGGTCACATGCACATAAAAGAACCGTGTATATAGTTGCTTGGGAGATTTCATACAACTGCTTTCACTTATCCCCATTTAACCCACAACACATTAAGTTTGTTGAATGTGGAGCTTCCAAGTATACCACTCTTGAAGATCCTAAACCCCCCTGTTGGGCAAGGGTTTACTGTATTTCATAGTTTGTACAAGTGTACTTGTTACATGTAATACTACTCATTCTTTTGAATTGCAGAAAGTGTGTTTGCACCGAAGGATATTGATCTTGAAAATGGTGATATTGATGATGATGAACGTGAACTGGAAGCATTCAAACGATTTTGTTTCAACTCTGTTCCACCAAAACGCAAGGAGAAAGTACATCTAAACATCAAAGATATTGTGCTGAAGAAGAAGTCATCTGCAATTGGATGCAGCTAAGCATTTCTTGCGCCAATACATGGTTGTCTAGTAACATTTCAGAGAACAGCTGCCTTGATCTGAAGTGGCTTCTCATTGGGAAGAGAAACGTTGGTTCTAGTAATTAAAAAGCGAGTTGTTTTATTTATACCCTGTGATCCATCAAATTATTCTGTATTTGTAATTTTTTAAATATGCATCTAACTCAAAGGCTCAGAGTCCTTTTTGAGAAGCGAATAGTCACTCAGCTACTCAAGAAATTTCCTGCCTCTTATGGAACCTGAATGTTCCTTACCATGTGTTTTTTTTTTTTAATTCTAACCAGCGTTTTGTGGTCGGAAGTCACAAGTATCCAGTGGCCCAACTTAATGTAAAATTATATAAGGCGTTAATTGAAGTGCATAGAAGTCACAAGAGTGGTGTGTATAGTGATGCTAAATCTAGAAAGGATGAAGCAAGGGACATGAATTTGACTTATTTTTCAGCTTTTATTTGTGGAGCATTGTACTCGTAGGACACTAAGTGTAAGATTTGGCTTTCAAGGCCATGTCTGATGTGAAAGCTTCACACATGCACATGGCAGCCGGTAATGATGACGATAGTTATTACTTTGAATATATGTGTTACTTATTTAGCCACAGAATTCATTCAGAAGAAACTTTCGTCATGAAAAGTATTTCACATTATAATGAAATGTATTTTGCTAATGTCCAAACAAGGGTGCTTCCTTGAGAAGATTATTTTGCATTTTACTGGTTAGCTTTGAAGCTGATTGGAATGCTTCACTAAATGAATGTTTGATTAAAATTGTCAATAATTTCATGGTGTGCGATTATTTTCCTTCTAGATAACACTTGTGGTTTTATGTGCTTTGAACAAGGACAAATCATTTCAGTACGAATAAATTGTTACATAGTATCCATGTGCACATGCACATATATATATATATATATATATAATATATGATTTAAATTAATAATATCTACAGGTATTTTGTATATGCTGAAAGAAAATGAAGATATATGTGGCATTATTCCAGTCAGGGCTGACATGTTTCGAAGATCTTGTCATGTCAATCAAGATTTTATACATGAGAACAGTACTTTTTAAGCATGGTGACAGTTTTTGTAATGCCATTGTCATTCTGGTTGCTGCTGTTGGTGTATACTATAGTAGATCATCATCATGAGCAAGCATCAATCAGTATTGTACAGTGCTGGATAGCAGCACTTCCCACTTCACAGTCGAAAGACTGAAAAAACTAACAAAACTTTGGGTCTAAAATGATCCTAATTTTTTACATGTGAGCCTCACAAGAAGGCCAACAACTCCAGTGGTCTGTGGTATTGTATTTGTTATACAAGATTTATTTAGCCATTAGAATCAATTAGATTAAAAATTTACCAATATAGATTGGAGCTCCTTGTTTTTCTCTATTTTTTACAGAATTTTCCTTTTGAGTCAGAAAAGGGGAAGTTCATAAGAACTTTTTCTTGACTGTTCCTTCCTGAACACTGCTTGCAATATATGGGCTGTGGAATTCATATATGACGTAGAAGAAAATGGAACCAGGATAGTGCAGTCAATGCAGCGACTGGTTATGGGCTGGATGGGCAAGGGGTCAGAGTTCAAGCCCCAGTAGGGGCAAGATTTTTCTCCTTTCCACATCATCCAGACCACTTCTGGGGTCCAACTAGTCTCATATCCAGTGGGTACCAGTGGCTCATTCCATAGGGTAAAACCACTGAGGTGTGAAACCAGTCAACTCCAGCTACTGGCAAGGTCAAAAATTGTGATGTATACATCCACTCCTTCATGTCTTCATGGCCTAGTGCTTAATTAGTTAGGCACAGGTACACCTTTACCTTACTTTCACCATAGAAGAACTACTTGTTTTCAATTAGGCAGTTTTGAATAGTGAGAACTATATGTTTCTGCACAATGGCCTGACAGTTCCTACCAGAGCATGCAAGAATATTAGGGGAGTGGATTCATTTTACCAGTGTCTGGGCTGTAAAGAAAGGAACCAGAAAAGATATGTTATGGAATTGCACACCCTTGTGCTTGAAAACTTACAGATAAAGAAAAAAACTGGGCTTTAGCTGATAAGCAAACTATACCGACCAAGCAACCGCTGCTTGTTGGCGAAATTAATGCCAACTTTTGTGGAGAGAAGGTGTCGTGTGGCCATCACAATGGATTCCCACAGCCGTTAATCTCGGTTTTCTAGACCAGAACTTACAGATAAAGACAAAAAAAAGTTTTTATTGACAAATAGCATTTTAAAATGCTATCTGGAATTTATTGTAAGAGTTTCTATTTTGAAACAGGCTTCATAATCAGAACTGCAATTGATTCCAAGGCACTGGTGCACAATTTGCAGCTGCATGTGAATAAGGTTTAATATGTAAGATTTAAGGCTTTCACGGTGGTGACTATGAAGAAAGCAGTCTTCTGGGATTTGGCACCGTGTATATGTGGTGTTAACCGACATTTCGGAGGTACGATATGTTCCTCCGAAACGTCGGTTAACACCACATATACACGGTGCCAAATCCCAGAAGACTGCTTTCTTCAAGGTTTAATATTTTGTGATGTGTGGGTTTCGCTCAGCACCACATTTTTTGCCTCTTTTAAATTTTCTTATGTTTGATTCCTGATGAGGTCATTTGATTTTTCCATTAATCAAATCCTTCCAGCCACACTATGGCCTTGGGGTTGACTCAGTCTCTAACAGAAATGAGTACCAGTTGTTTTCCTGGGGCTAAATGGCTGACAGCCTTACCACCATCTGTGAGCCAATTGTCTAGAAAATATGGGAACTGATATCTCACAACCTTATGGGCTTGCACAGCATGTTAAAGGGATAGCTTTACCTTTTTATGATTAAAATCTTTTATACAGTGACATTTTTATATCTCCCACTGTTCTCATCTTTTGGTCTGCTTGCTAAGTGAGCATAACTAATTTTCATTGTGCAGAAGAAGTCTGTGTTTATTATATCTGTGTGTGGCTACTGTTTAATTCTTAAAGCAATCACTATATGGTGGATGAAAGTAAACAATAGAAAATTTCTCAGCAGAAATATATATTATATTGAACAGATGGACACTTTCACCAATGCTGTTATATAAAACAATAAGAAAACCTGAAGTTTTGCTCTTGATCTATCATTTGAAAGGGGACACAGCATTATGTGTTGTGTCTTTGCACACACTAGTAGCAGCAATTAGATGAGAGTGAGGTCAGTATTTATTTAATTGAATTGATTTTTCTGCTTGAAAAGTTTCGCTCTCTTTGCTTTGGTTCCTGTTCAGTAAGTCTGGGGTGCCCACTCTCATCCACTTCTGTGGTTAAGAAGTTGGAGTCTGCAATTTTCATCATACTGTAGAAACTGTATAGACCATGACAAGCTTAGTCTCACTGGATCTGTTGAAAATCCTAAAAATATTTGTTGTATGCTGAAAGAATTTAACCCATTTTGATTTCATGGTACATATGGAGTCTTGAGCCCTATGTGTAAGGGATTTAATACCACTTAGTGTGATGTACATGCATGCTTTTTGGTTTTGTCTAGTATAAAGGCCTTCCAATAAGCTGATCCCTCTTCCAAGAAATCATAGGAATATCTAATTATTACACAAAATAGAAATAACTAGACTCGACTAAAACTGTAGAATCTACTAAATTCATTACATGTGTAACAGACTCAAATAGCTCATCTCACCATAATGATGAAAGAGAAATGATGTATCTACACTACGTTTCAGGTTTGAAGTTGGCCGCAGGATGCGGTTTTATAACTTTAAATCCCACCCAGGGGTTCTTTAATGCAATCCTGAAATTCACCACAGCCAGCTTACTGCTGCTGCATGAATTGTAGCCATCTTTTTCACTATGTTGGCAGCTTTAAAGTTTATTCATAACTGAGGGAAAGTTAATGGAGCTTTATCAGTCCATGTAAGATGAGAAGTTTATGTAAGGTTATGTTTCACAGTGTGAAGCTTCCTTCTGCATCTAGGTTTGGTCTGTGGTGGAGAAAACAGAGGGCGAAGGAGTGTTTGATATGAACTTAGATGTTCTGACATGTCTGTGGGGCTTGGAGGCATCTGTGACCTTTACCGGGACAAGTCGTAACCGAAGCAAGATATGAAATCTGCATTAGAGGATAGGAAAAAAGGAAAAATTAAGTAGGAAATAATAGAAAAGGTTAATATTTTGTGGGAAAGCTTGCCCTCCAGCTGCAAATGTGGTATGTAATAATGCAGTTGTTTGGTCACAAGAATAAAGTAAAGTTCGCTTTTGCTATTTTCTGTTTGTTGTCTGGCATTCTGCTTATTACCACAATTTGGAATACACAGAATTTCAAAATGTCTCTCTTTTATGATTTGGATCATTCATTCATTGTGATGCTAATTTATTACACACAGAAAAACTGTTCTGAAATCACTCAGCAGTTAGATACTACACTGCATAGAGATATAATTGAAGTTCTTTCATGATTCAGACTTTTTCACTAGATGGAGGTGAGTGGGCAGCTTAGTGAGTATTAGCAACTACATTAAGGGCTGAACAACTCAGGAATCGGGTTTCATTTCTCAGCAAGGACAACATCCAGGCCAGCTCTTGGAGCCATCTAGCCTCCTATACAACACCAGTCACCTCCATCTAGTGCCAAGGCTAAGAATGGTGGAGCTATATATACATCCCCCCTGGTTTTCCTTCATAGTGTCATGCTTAATTAAGCCAAGGAATAATTTTACCTTTACCTTATGCCTATGTCTCTCAGGGTTCATATAGGTAAATGTTTATCTTTTCATTTTGAAATTCCCAGTGAGCTAAAATTAGAGGATACGTTCTTAACATTGCTCTTTAATTTTACTCCAGGATATGCCATTAGAAAGGTTCAAGAGTATCAGAATGACGTGAATGAGGTAGTCGTTTATTCACATAAAGTTAATTTTTTGAAGCAGAATATAAATGCAAAAGAAGGTAAGGTAAAGCTATCACTACAGGTACAACAGGTCCTGAAAACCCATAGGGTTGTAAGATGTTGTCAAGGATCCCACATTTTCTAGACAATTTACACACAGATGGCGGTGAGGTTGTCAGCCTTATGCACCAGGCTCTCTTTACCCTCAGGAAGATTCCTGGTATGCATTCTGTTAGAGGGTAAGTTGACCTCAGGGCCATAGTGCAGCTGGAAGGATTGGTTCAGTTGAAAAGTTCAGAGATCTCATC